ACACACTCACTCTCTCACACACACACTCTCACACAAACACACACTCACACAAACACATACAAATACTCACACACACTCACAAACACAAACAAACAAACACTCACACACACACACTCGCACACAAACACACACAAACATACACACACACACACACAAACCCTCACAAACACACAGACACAAACACACACTCTCTCACACACACTCATTCACACACAAACACACACACACTCTCAAACAAACACACACACACACTCTCAAACAAACACACACACTTTTCAATGTACTATAAGTAGATTCATATATCATGTAAATACATGCCACTCTAATGATATGTGTCCTAAACCATGTTAAAGCAATGTATGCCTATCTGTCAATCACATCATGTAGTTATCATAACCTTCACAAAACCTACCGTAGCTTTACCCAGGTGTATGATATTATCAGCTCATATATTTGTGACCCTGGAGCACAAAAGCAGTCATAAGTAGCTTTCAGGTGTATTTGTAGCAATAGCCAACAATACATTCTATGAGTCATAGAATAACACAACATATCATTAGGATATTAAGTAAAGATCATGTTCCATGAAGATATTTTTTAAGTTTCCTAACGTAAATATATCAAAACTTAATTTTTGAACTTCATTTGGACAACTTTAAAGGCGATTTTTCTCAAATTTTTTTTTTTTTTTTTTTTTTGCTGTATCTCAGCCAAATATTGTCCTATCCTAACAAACCATACATCAATGGAAAGCTTGTTTATTCAGCATTCCCTCTCTTATGACTGGTTTTGTGCTCCAGGGTCACATCTAGTGATTATATGATGATATGCAGTGTATCTGTGTCACCGCTGAGTCCTGTGGCCTGCTGTGTTTCTTCGGTCTCTGTGTTGATGTTTTTCTCCTGTTTGTCCGTTTTCTCTTCATCCTCGGACTCTGCGCCCATCCATGAGCTCCAGCCCTTAAACATGGTCTGCCCGTGAATTTAACGATCTCTGATGGTTTTAATCAGGAGAACTTTACTCCATGATTCGCATCCGCAATGAGCCACATCAACAAACAACAACAGCAGCATCAGCAGAGCGCTTCCGCTGTCAAACACACAGCAGCGCTCCGCAGCGCCCCCTGCAGCGCGGGAGGAACGGCACACTAACACTTCGCATCTGATTGGCGTTAGATGATTTGTTGATTGCTTTTAATATGTACACGTTCCATTAAATATTTCCAAGTGTTTGCAAAAGCTGTTTTAATGCATGTTTGGCGGAGTTTTCGTTGCACTTACACCGTTCTGACCAGCAGGCGTCGCCGCTTCGAAACACTGAATCATTTTGCGAAGCAATCGGTTCAAATGATTCAAAGCTTCGAAACGTTTCTGTGCGAATTTTTCAACGCCATTCCCTCCGGTGTGTCTTACAGAAAATACTCTTTTGTGTTGCAAGGTATTACATTTCCATGGCCACGTACTCACACTGACTTTAACTGACACAGTGATTGGTGAAGTGTTTGCTTTTCTGTAACGATTAATCGCGATTAATCGCATCCCAAATACAAGTTTTTGTTTACATATGTGTGTGCGCTGTGTATATTTATTATGTATATATAAAGACACACACATACAGTATATATTTTGAAACTATTTACATGTATATATTTATATTCATATAATTTATATCATATATAAATATATTTAATATATAAACGTAACATATTTTTCTTAAATATATACATGCATGTGTGTATTTATATATACATAATAAATATACACAGTACACACACACACATATTATGTAAACAAAAACTTTTTAGCTTCCACAAGAGCTGCAGCATTTCATAATTATTATTATATTAATTATATTAATGACAGTGGTCATTTTATTTACTTTAAAATACATGTTTTTCATATTTGATGTATTATTATATATATAAATTGTAGTTTGCATATCCTCCCGGGACCCAGAAAACAAAGTTTTGTGAATTTAGTATGTTTTCATGTCGTTACATTGTTTAGAGTATATAGGGGAAAAAATGGAAAAATAATTTTGAAAAATTATATTTTATTCATATGTTGTGCTATGTCCTCTGTAGAGGACACCAGAACTTAATTAAAAAATAAAATGACATGAATAGACATAAATAGGCAAAAACAATACATTTTTATGCTTTTTATACCAAACTTTGTATAAAGATGATTCTCAACTTATAAAAGTTTTAAAATGACCATAAGATGGTTTTCCCATTATATACAATGCATCTATACACTATCTCATTGATCTGTTTCGTAACAGAAAGCCATATTTTGATTTGAAACCCCATAACATTTTCCTGAGATGTTGATTTATGACAATTAATTTGAAAATACTGATAATTACAAAATATTATCATATATGCATAAGGGTGACATATAAGGCATATCCTGCTTTTATATTAAAATCCCATCCATTCATTCAAAAGCTTGAGTATTTCTGATTTACACTTCACTATAGAAATACAGGGGAAAAAAAGTTTTTTACCATGTTTCTGGGAATAAAACACTATATAAAATCAGGCAAATTAAATATGAACATACACTTGAGTAAAAGCCTTCAAAATATAGATATGAATAAAAATGCTCCGTGCTGCTGAAGAAAAAAGCGTTTAGAAATATGGACTGTAATTGACATTTACAGACGCAAGTAGATAAAGTGCAATAAAATAAACTTTGCACTCCTCTGAAACAGCGTTCGAGTGCACTGAGGATCCTAAATGATGATATTTGCTTGGTAGAAAAGCTCCAGGGTCACGTCTTTATTTTTTAAAAACGCATATGCCCTCGTAATCTTGATTTAAAATAGCTTCCCCTTTCTTTGCACACGACAACGATCCAATCGATTCCCAATGGACAAATTCAATTCCCACCCTACATTTTGTTCTCAAGAATCCATACTTCAGTGAAGTGTTTCTGGCCTGAGATTCATATGTAATTTCCGAACAGACACGTGCTGATTCAACATGCGTTCAGTCCGACTGTGAGCCTCGCTCTCGCCAATGAACTTCACAAACCGCATTGAAACTAACGCCCGAACCCTGACACGCTCCCAAAATAAGGCTTCGGGGTGTAGGCACTCCGACTGTGACCCCCGCTCCCGCCAATGAACTTCACAAACCGCATTGAAACTAACGCCCGAACCCTGACACGCTCCCAAAATAAGGCTTTGGGGTGTAGGCACACAGAGGTCTTTAGCTGAGCTAGCGTGGAGAATCCGCTTCAGATAGTGTCCAAACACTGAGCAGTAATCCGCCACTCAAAAAATCAACATTAGACGACTTCTACGCTGAAGAAAGTATTTCTGTCTGTAAAGTAAATGCTGGTGGCGAATCTGTATGCTTGTGTGTGTAGTTCAGGGAAAAACGGATGGAGAAATGGCAGAATGACTGTGAGGGTTTAGCAGATAAAAGGTGAGCTTTAGATGTGCTGATGTTGAGGGAGACAATAGAGAGGAGTGTGGATGGCCCAAGATAAAACTAGCCTCGTTTAAATCAAAATTGGGAGCAATGCTTGGCAGGAATATGTTCAAAAACATCTAGACAAAATGCAACTGAATGGAATAAATAATAATAATAATATCAGATCATTAATTATTATTAAATAATGAATAGCAATGATGGTTATTATTAAAAAAATAAATGCTTTTATTCTTGTTAAAAATTAATTATAATAATAAAAGTAGCATTAATTATTACTATTATTATAATTACTATTGTGAACAATAATACAAGCATTTATTAATAAAAAATAATGCCAGCATTAATTATTTAAAATAATAATAATAATATTATTATTATTATTTAAAATAATAATACTATTATTATTATTGTTGTTGTTTAAAATAATAACAACAACACAATAATAGCAGCGCTATTAAATAATATTTTACTATTATAAATAATATTATTTTCAATAATAAAAGTATTTGTAATAATAATTATTATAGTACTATTTTTTACTATTTTTTATTAACAATAAAACTATTATTATTATTATTATCACTATTATTATTGTTGTCGTCATTAATAGTAATAATAATAATAATAATAATAATAATAATAATAATGTGAGGGAAGTCAGATATGCAAGAAAAGACCGAAGAGAGCAGCTAGAGGGCGCCAGAGGCAGAGTTGTGAGCCGTTACCAATAAAGATGCAAACTTCAATACACATGCAAAGCAAACACCTGCGATGCCCGATCATGCAGAGGTACACAGTTTTCCGATGCTAAACGACAGTGTTCATGATAGCGCTGTAAAACAGACAATACTTTACACTAGCTTATTGAGGATACTTTGGGATTAGCTAGCTTGGTTGTCAATGCTTTGACATTCTGCATGAGAACGAGTGAATACTGACGGATACTAGCGGTCAGGCTACTCCCCGCGACAAACGCGCCAAGATGTAAGCGTTTCTCAATTGGAAACGCTCAACATGCGTCTTGGGGAGGTGCGCCAACTTTCTGTGCACACAACCGCCATGTTGTTAGCATAACAGAGATAACGTAGCACATCAAGAAATGGGCTTTTGGCCACCGGTCGGGCAGTAAAGCACCGTTTAAGCTGCAGGCTTATGGAGACGTTTTGAGGTAAACAGTCCAGCATTTGAGTCGGAGAGGAATAAACAAGTAGAGGATTTAGTGTTTCTTAAAAACAAAAACAAACACTGAAATGGTGTGATGATTACATGTGTGAATGAATGAATGAGAGAGGTAGTTCATTTTGGTTAACAACGGCACCTATTGGTTTGTGTTGTCCTTAAACAATCAGCAATCAGATCCTTCAGCTCGACTCAAGAAACCCATGCGGCTTCCAAAAATCGACAAGCGCAGCACGAGCGATGGGTTTCTTAAGCCTAGCTGTGTGGCGCAAAACCAACCTAGAGCTTCGCAAACTACTGAAGCGCTAGATTGGTCTGTTGCCTTCAGTTCAGCCAAGCACATCCAACAAAGAACGACCTCTTTATGATCCCTGTGGATGCAAAGATTAACAATAACTGATCCAAAGTGCATAGACAGTCCAGATGTGCTCCTACACTGCAAAAAATATTTTCTTCCTTAGTATTTTCGTCTTGTTTTCTAGTATAAACATCTAAAAATTCTTGAATCAGGATGCATTTACTTGACAAGTAAAATGGCTTAAGATGTCTTGTTTTCTGAAAATATCATCCAAATTTTGTTAGTTTTTGCTTAAAACAAGTAAAGCTATCTGCCAATGCGGTGAGAAAAACAATCTTGTTAAGCCTTTGAATTAAGATTATTTTTCTTACCATATTTGCAGATATTTTTACTTGTTTTAAGCAAAAACTAACAAAATTTGGATAATATTTTCAGAAAACAAGACATATCTTAAAGGGCTCCTATTATGCTCTTTTACAAAGTCTTGATTTTGTTTTGGGGGTGTACTAGAACAGGCTCTCATACTAGGTTTTTCAAAAAACATTATTTTTCACATATTTTACATTATTACAACAGCATGAACGGCTCAAATAGTTCCTGTATCAAATGAAGGTCCGCCTTAACTGGGCCAGGGTGTGGTGTGATTGGTTAGCTGGGCCAGTGTGTGTTGTGATTGGTTAGCTGGGCCAGTGTGTGTTGTGATTGGTTAGCTGGGCCAGTGTGTGTTGTGATTGGCTCCACTCAGCGCCTGGTCTGGAAATGTCACGCCTCTTACCATAGCCGCCGGCTGCGAGCTTCAGTGTAACTATTACGTCAAAATCAAATCAATTTGAGCGCGATTTAAACCCAGATGATTGTAACCACTCTAAGTTCGTCTGCCTTGGGAAAGCTAGCGTGTCTCCGACATAGTGATAACACTCGTTGCCTTCTCTAGTGCAGCTCAACCAGGTCTCATCCCATTCATCTGTATTTCTGATATCACAAATCCCGGAAAATATGTGTTGTAGTCCAAACGAGTCATTCATTGTAGTTTTAAAAAGTGATTTATGTTAAATAAAAGATCTCCTTTTGAATTGGACTTTGAGCTTTGTAACTTTGCAGATCTTTTTTATGCTCAAACAGCAACATTACAGACTAACTCAAGTTGAAAAAGTGAAAAAGCATAATAGGACCCCTTTAAGCCATTTTACTTGTCAAGTAAATGCACCCTGACTGAAGAATTTTTAGATATTTATACTACAAAACAAGACAAAAATACAAACGAAGAAACATTTTTTTGCAGTGTATGCATCTACGGCAACTTCCCCCTCGTGAAAATACTGATCAACGGACACCGAAACGGCAGAAACCCCTGTTTTTCCATTCATAACGTCCATCCGTTGACACCCAATGAAGAAAACCAAAAACTGGCGGGACTCTCGCAGTTGGAGGCCCTTTCTCTTGCAGCTTGGTTGAGGTGACGAAAATCCAGAGCGGGACAAAGAGGTTGTCGGTTTATTTTCCCTTATTGATCGGATGCAAGCGATCCTAGATCTGAGGGTGAAAAGGGGCGTTCGTAGTTGCGAAAACACTCAACGGCTGATCATCCAGTGTTCTTTAGTGCTAGCAAAACTAGTATAATCCAACCGAAGCTTATCGTAACTGGTATATACATGTATCTGCAATCCAGTTTATCGTCCGCAAGACGGTTTCGCCATTGGAGGACGGCGTTCATCCAACTCTCCAAGATCCCTCAAGCTGAGAAAAACGGGGCGTTGTCGTTTTTTTTTCCGTTAGCAGCCAACGTCTGGATGAGCCCCTCTTCCCGTTTCACCCGCGGTAATGTTAAAGCTTCGTTGCGTGTGTGTGTGTGTGTATGTGTATGTGTCAGATTGGCTGGTTTGAGGCAGCGGTTGTAGCAAAAACGAAACTAAAGCACCAGTTTTGAGTTGAGTTTGCAAACGCGGAAACAGCTAATGCAGCTCAGCAGCAGTCTGGTTGAGATGTCTCGTCAATTTGCAGAAATAAAAATATAACCTGTTTGATGTCTCAGAATCTGTACAAAACTAAGCCATGATAATCGTTTATAAACAATAAAATCCGATGCAGAATTCGCACCTAAAAGCATCAGGCATAGATACGGTCTCTTAAAAGCTTATTATGTCATCCGAGAGAGAAATAGACACCAAAACATATGAAAATATCAGATTAGCATATTTCTCCCAAGCTTCTTTCCAGCTGATTAACTTATTAGCCTATCTTTTCATTAGACCTATGTACAGAAACAATACGAGTGGTATTTATAGCTCATGACCACAAGAGAGCAGCGCAAAAACTTCTGGAATGCGGGGAAAATCGGTGGGACGTGTTTATAATCGTTCGTTTGTGCGACAATGATTTACACAAATTCCCTGTGTTGAGTTGAAGCAAATTTTTGGACATGCGTGCAAATTGGTGCATTAGTACAACGATTTACATAGACCCTTCCAAAAACATGGTTTTACGAACCATTTGAGTATGTAAAGTTGTCGCAATTTACATGTAAAACGGTTGATGGACAATTCTGCTCATGTTTCATGAACAAGGCCCAACGTTTGAAGACGTGACAAAAAAACGACACCTGCTTTCAAAAAACAGCACTTTAGTGATGGACTACAACAAAACGGGTCCGTATAACATGGATTTTGATGTCAGGGTAAAGTAAGGCCTTGTCTTGAACTAAATCCACTGGAGATCCAGGTAATGTGAGGTCGAAGCAGCCGGATAGCCTTGTTATGAATAATAAATAATGTCGAGCAGCATTCTGGTTTATTTTTGGGGCCGGTTCCTGCGCTTCGGCTCTCTTGTGGTCAACTAAGATCCTAACTATACAGACATTAGACCTACAGTCAGGCCTTCTCTCTCAGTTTAAAGTGTGTGTGTGTGTGTAGTATGTCTATAGTGCATCCACCCTCGACATACACGCATGCATACAGATCATATCAACCAGGCCAATCGTAAAAGTTAGTAAAAGTGGCCACTGTCCCAAAACCCAGTAAACTCCAAAACGTTCTGAAAAGGAATCTCATTCTGAAAATACTACATAGAAAGCAACTCACATAAATAGTGCTTGACATGACTTGCAATGGATTTCAATAGAAATAGACACTGGAATGTTACTAATCTAACAATGTGACTTTATTCATAATTATGAATGACTGAGAAATTAATTTATAATTATACTTATTTATAATTATATAAATTATAAACAATTTATAAATTATAAATGTATA